GCATTCTTGTGAAGACAAGTCTACACAGATGCTTAGAAAGTTTAGGTAATTTCAATCTGTTTTCTTAATTTAACATATATATGTTTTAAAGTAAGGTTGTGGTTTCCCCCCTTTGTAAACCACTTTGAGGTTGGTTTGTTTGTTTGTTTGTTTGTTTGTTTGTTTTAAAGAAAACAATCAAGTGGTGTATAAATTTTATGAAATAAACAAACATAATTTAACAGTAAGAGCACTTTGACTGCCCAGACTCAACTCGACAACCTCGGTGAGAACTACTGCACCGAAATGACATGCTCATGTTTAATATCTCACACGATGGCAAAGATGCCTTGTGACTCTGTCAGAATTTTAGCCATTCTTCCCCCCATTGAGCAGCAAATTTTCTTGTTTATTGGGGAAGCAAAAGTTCAAAATTCAAATTTCAATTCGAGATTTGTATAGTGGCAAGTTCCTTACTGGTCCATTAAAGCTTGACTTCGTAAGATGGCAAGATGTACCCAAAAGTTTGGCTGTGGGGGGATGCACACTGGTTTCTAGCTTTCACCAGTGAACTGAAACCTCTGCAGATAGAAACTATAGCCCTCTGTATCATGTTCCATGCATATGGACCATTCGAAGCTGCTGTCTACCATTGGTCCATCGAGCTCAACATTGTCTACACCAGTCATCCCTAAACTGGTGCTCTACAGATGTTGTTGGACAGCATCTCCCAACCATTTAGCTCATGACTTGCTTGCAGGCTTCCAATTGGGGCATCTGGTTCAACACAATGAGAACAGGATTCTGGATGATGCTGGGCTCTCCTTAACAAGGGAGCTCACACCTATGACTGTATTATACTGGAGTTAGGACCATTTGGTTCTCATGAGGTGGCATGCACCCTAGTGAGACCATTTGGCCTTTGGGGGGCGGGAGGCAGTCAGGGCAGCAACGGTGCAATGCTTGTGAAAAGCAACACCCAGAGGTGTTCCATCCCTTAAGTATTTTGAGCTTTTTTGGGTAGTTTCTCTCAGGGGGTATATATGCGTGTGTGCGTGTAGTCCTTCTGAAAGGTTTAACAAGTCAGGCTATTGCAGCCCCCAAGCACTTGTTGTCCCTTAGACAAATTGGCAGAAAAAGAGGCAGGCAAAGAGGGGTTTTTTTGCAAGTGACATTCCATCAAAGCAATATGGAAGTGTTTAAAGGGAAAGGGCTGGCACATGGGGGTGGGGGGAGTCGAGATCTGAACCTTTAAATTACAGCCATTCCCGGCCTAATGATAAGTAAATAAACAGTTCACAGCTGCACGGGGACCAAACAGAGAAACACATCGATCTCTTGGAGGCGTGATTGGCGAGCAAGTAATTAAGTGTGAAATGTGAGCCCTCCATCATGTCAGCAGGAGATGCTGGAGGTCTCCAGTTGGACAACCCCCTAGGATTAACCCTTCGAGCACCCTTGGGTGAACTGCAGAACACTGATCCAAAAGAAAAGAAAGACACTCGGAGCCACAGAAAGCTCCCTCTGAATAAGGGAGGGAGTTGCTTGTATGAGACCATTGGGAATGATGTCTGTTTTCAGCTGTAGCTTTTCAAAGATCGTGAGGGCTGGAGAAGGTGGAGTGGTTAAGGCAGAGGGAGTCAACCTGGTGCCCTGCAGATACTGCTGGACTCCAACTCCCATCAGCCCCAGCGAGTGGTCCGTGGTCAGGGATGATGGGAGTTGGTGTCCAGTTACATCTGAAGAGTTGCCATATTGGATATCTATGGGCTAAGTGGTGTCCAAACTTTTTTCAAAGAGGGCCAGATCTGATAAAATGAAGGGCCATGAGGATGTTGAGCTTTGTTTAGGATTGAAGTTCTTGAGCTTTTTTTTTTTTTAGGGTTGCAGTTGTTGAGCTTTTTTTTTTTAGGATTTTACCCCAGGAATTAAACTGCCACAGGGGCCAGATTAAACCAACTGGCAAACCAGATTATGCCCCCAAAATGGACTTTGCATGTGCCTGAAGGGATGAGCTACAAATAAGAAATGCCCAGTTTCAAATATTGCCTTTGCCATGCACTCTCTGAGTGGCCTTAGTCAAATCACTCTGTGTTAGCAACGTCTGCAGTATATAGATAATAATAGTGGCCTGCCTTACAGGGCTTTTGTAAGAGTGCAACTCTATAATGTATATGAACCTTCAAAAGCACTATATTATTATTATCATTATGTCCAGACTGGTTTTTAGAGTCAGTTATTACTGAGCTCCCTCACATCAAATGTGTGGTGTGGCAATTAACCTTTGACATGCTCCCCCACAGCCAAAGTGTGGCATGCATCTTAAGCATCCACAAATGGGTAGGTTCCTTTTGTTCATGGTCAGGAAAACTGAGGTCCAGTGGAGGATTCTGCCAGCAGAACTAGGGGAGGCAATTTTCACTAATTTCCCCTGCAGCCCCTTGCACAGTTTTTCAGGCTGCTCCAGGTGGTCCCCCAATCCCCCAGCCCTTAGAACAGATTTGTTGTGGGTTTGCTGTTGTTGTTGGGGGTTTTTTGGGGTTTTTTGGGGGGGGGTACAAGAGACTGCAGAGGGAAGGGGAAATTGATGGGGAAAAACATACCCCCTTTCCACTCTAGTGAACATCCTGCGTGGAACCCTGTTCAGGGGGTGCTTCCATAAGCAGAGACCTAGTTAAAATCTATGGCCTAGTTAAAATCTCCATAATATTCACTTCTTCTTTTTTTACATGGAGGGTTTTTTTAAAAAATATGTAGGAACATTTAAACGAACACCCCCTATTTGATTCTGCAATCCCAGCATGAATTTACCGTGTAATATTTCTGATTGTGTGAATGGGACGTGGGTGGCACTGTGGGTAAAACCTCAGTGCCTAGGGCTTGCCGATCGCATGGTCGGCGGTTCGAATCCCCGCGGCGGGGTGAGCTCCTGTCTTTCGGTCCCAGCTCCTGCCCACCTAGCAGTTTGAAAGCACCCCTAAGTGCAAGTAGATAAATAGGTACCACGTTATAGCGGGAAGGTAAACGGCGTTTCCGTGTGCTGCGCTGGTGCTGGCTCGCCAGAGCAGCTCCGTCACGCTGGCCATGTGACCCGGAAGTGTCTCCAGACAGCGCTGGCCCGCGGCCTCTTAAGTGAGATGGGCGCACAACCCTAGAGTCGGACACGACTGGCCTGTACGGGCAGGGGTACCTTTACCTTTTACCTATTTCTGATTGTGTAGTTTGTCTATCTAGTGGCTGTAGAGTAAATGCTGCAGAGATCACAAAATGATCACCATGATTGTTCAGTTCACACATTTTATTTGACCAGGTATACACCTTTAATCCCTTTCCACCCCCACCCACCCGTCTCTCTTAAATGCAGCTGCCTCTGGGGTGGGATCCATCAGCTACTTCAGAGCTCGCAGCATTACACCCCTGCAGGTCAGGCTCTCACGGAAAATGTCATTGCCAGCTGTAGCTGTCAGGGAAATCAGATCAGTTCAATTAAATTACCCAGATTCCTGGAATTTGGTTGGGAGACAAGACTAACACCAATCCCCTTTCAAATTGGGGTATGACCTCGAAATAGCACCGAGCTACTCAATCTGACGTTCAGCATTCACTTTGCATTTATGGTTGTGTTGGCAAGGCATGAGTGAGAATGTGTTTAAACAAAAACATTGCGAGATGAAACATTTCAGATCATAACATCGGAGAGGGATTTGCATTAACAAGCCAGGAATATTAAAGGATATATATATATAAAAACACACACACGTAGGACAAGGCATAAATAATGTCCAAGCTAAAACTATGCTCTGTTGCAGGCAAGATGGATTTTTATTTTATTTTATTTTATTTGCAATAAAAGGATGGATGCAGGGTTGGGAAGGAGGTGGAACTAACTGGCTGAGAGGAACTGCCAGTTTTAGTATCTGGTGAGGAGGAAAGAAAGCAATTACCACAAGTGAAGAATTCCCAAGGCAAGAAGTGCTGACTTTTGGAAAGAAACTCATATCCTCCATAATGTCTCGGTCTTTGTGGGTAAGTTTTGTCCACTCACTTTGCTCTATTTTGGGTTGCGTACACACCATACCTGTAAAGCACATTCAAAACACACACCTTTCCCCAGAGAATCCAGGGAACTGCAGTTTACCTTTGAAAAGCTACAATTCTGAGCATTCTTAACAATTTACAGTTCCTAGGATTCTTTGGGGGAGGGGAAATGTGTGTTAAAGGTTTGGTATCTATTCTATTCTATTCTATTCTATTCTATTCTATTCTTTTCTATTCTATTCTATTCTATTCTATTCTATTCTGCTGAGAAATGCTTTTAACAAACAACAGGTGAAACAAATCTGACGGACAGAACATAGTCCTGCAGCTGAAATGATCCACTGTTTGAGTCATGCTGGATTGGACCAAAGGTACAATATAGTTGAACATTCTGCCCTCGATTGCTTTGATTTATTGCATTTCTGTTTCACTTTTCATTCAAACGAACCTCAAAGCAGCTTGCAAACAAGAAATAGCAATAACAGAACAAAGCATAACAGAACATTGCAGCTACAGCATAAATCACAGAAAATAATTACCAAATCATCGGTAAGACAACCACAATCTATAAAACACTATTAACAAAACAGCGACTAACAAATGAGCTAAACATTACAGCAAAAGTCATATTATGTGATTAACAAATGAACACAGCAATTAGAATCTATGAAATGATATTAACAACATTAACAAAACACCAGATAAAAAAAATAAATGGCCAGCCGGAAGCTACCAAGAAGCCCACAGAGCAGAGCATGAAGACAGCAGTCCCCCCCCCCACACTCTGCTGCTGTTATTCAGAAGCAGGCCATTGCATCTTAACATGGAGGTCTGTTTGGCCACCATTCCTTCTAGCACTCATGTCCAGAGGTGTGTCCTGGTGCTTGCTTAGCCAAAATGTCATCACTCGCACTTAATACATACATATTAAGCAACAGGCTTGGGAGGACCTCAGCATTTTCATAAGTTATTTTTTTAAAAAAACCTCACTCATTAGTCCAGTTAGTAGAGCACGTGACTCTTAATCTCAGAGTTGTGGGTCCAAGCCCCACATTAGGCAAAATAATAAAAATAAAAATAAATGCTGCATTGCAGGGAGTTGGACTAGACACCCTTGAGGTCCCTTCCAACTCTACATTTCTATGATTCTATTATCTTTAAAGAGGTGGGAGATACCTAACTGGGGCTTGCAATGGGGTCAGGGACTCCCTAAACACTCCATTGAGGAATGAGGATGTTTGGTGGTCAAGGACGGCTGCCTACCTGTCGGACGGCTGGTGGGAGCATGGAAAGTCCAGGTTGGAAGGAGGTTGGAATGGAATATTTTGAAAGAGAGCACGGCAGACTGAACACTGAACAGGAGGAATTCTATGATGCAACATTCCATTTCAGGTCCTACTTGCCAGGACTATTAATCACGGATAGGCTATTTGTTAATAGGCTATCCATTGCTAGGCCAATCTTTATGAATTTGTCTGACTTAAAATCACCTTAGAAGAAGAAGAGTCTGGATTTGATATCCCACTTTATCAGTCTCAAGGCGGCTAACAATCTCCTTTCCCTTCCTCCCCCACAAGAAACACCCTGTGAGGTGAGTGAGGCTGAGAGACTTCAGAGAAGTGTGACTAGCCCAAGGTCACCCAGCAGCTGCATATGGAGGAGCAGAGACGCGAACCCGGTTCACCAGATTAGGAGTCTACCGCTCTTAACCACTACGCCACACTGGCTCTTAGTTTGTGGCCACCCCTGCATCTTGTGGCGGTGAGTTCCACTGTGCGATGCAAATGACCTTTTAAATTTTGGCCACACCCACCTTGGCATGTGTCCCCCTACACAAGGGCTGACCACGGGTCAATGCAGCTCTCAGTCCAGAAATGGTTGCTCCCCACCGCTCTACCCGAAAGCAATAAAATCTCAGCACGTGCAATGTCAGGGGTTGGGGGAGGGGGGTTCTACCCAGTGAAGACCAAGCCCCTCTTGTCTCCATTTGTTGTATGCAGCAGGAATAACACCTGAATGGGGCTGGTGACAACTTCTGGGGCAGTTCACAGATTTATTTATTTATTTATTTATTTAAATATGCATTTACATTCTGGTTGGTGTTCTGCCAAAAAGAAAGAAGGCACCAGGTCATGCTCAGCTTTTATCTCCGTACTTTCTTAGCTTATGCCAAAGGAGGGGCCAGGTGATCCTCTGTCTTGCCACTCGAGGGGTGTGGGACTCTTAAGTAACATGCCTAACATTTCACTCTGTGGGCTGGATTTAATCACGGACAAATGAATTTAGGCGAGATCGTAAAGGGTCGCGCCCAGCACCTCCAGCCAAAACAGTTTTCGTTGGGTTTGCCCTTGCTCTTTGAAACGTTTGCAAATTCCTCAACATATTAATAACAAAATCTTACTGTAGGCAAAGATTTTGAAGGGGTGGGGGAATCATTGCAGTTGGGTTATAAAGGGCAGCAGCACAATGGAAAGTGCGTTTCAGTTTCATAGGCTTGGAAGGGGTTCAACAGCAAATGATCAGAAACACATTGAATGTAACTGATATTAGATGCTTACATGAAATGCCACTATTAAGATAATACATATTAATTCCTTATTTGTACAATGGGCTAAAGAATAGGCCGTACCTTAAAAAAGAAAAGAAAAAAGAGTTGTGGGCCAATGCTACTCCTACTCGGAGTAGACCATTGAAACGAATATTTCAGTGGTTCTACTCTGTGTAGCATCAGATAGAACACCAAAATTCCTGACCCTAATTGTTGTTATGGTTTGGCTTGGGAGCAGTTCCTGCGAAACCTTCTTCTAAAAATGTGGCAGTAGAATCAGAGAGTCAGAGGCGTGGTTGAAAGTCATCAAGCGCACCCCTGGACTTGAAGCAAGTAGTCCAGAGTTAGTGTATCTCCAACAGATGACCACCCAGCTCTTGTTTGAAAAGCTCCAGAGAGGGCTATCTTCCACCCAGTGATAGCTGAGGCCCAATGGGACTGGTAGGGCAGAAGACAAGGAGGTCAACAGTAGGGGGAGCCAGAGCAAATGATAAGTAGAGCCAAGTAATCCCAGTTTTGTCCCCAACCTGCTCCCTGCTGAGTTCTATGAGGACAACATGGATGTTCTCAAGAAGGCACGCAGGTCAGGGTTGGCTGAGAATTTGTTAAAGTAAAGGTAAAGGGACCCCTGACCATTAGGGCCAGTTGTGACCGACTCTGGGGTTGCGGCGCTCATTTCGCTTTATTGGCCAAGGGAGCCAGTGTACAGCTTCTGGGTCATGTGGCCAGCATGACTAAGCCGCTTCTGGTGAACCAGAGAAGCGCATGGAAACGCCGTTTACCTTCCCGCCGGAGCGGTACCTATTTATCTACTTGCACTTTGACGTGCTTTCAAACTGCTAGGTTGGCAGGAGCAGGGACCGAGCAACGGGAGCTCACCCCGTCGTGGGGATTCGAACCGCCAACCTTCTGATCGGCAACTCCTAGTCTCTGTGGTTTAACCCACAGCGCCACCTGCATCCCCTGAAAATTGTTAGGAGATTCCTATTCCCTTCTATAATTCTCAGAGCAGTTTAACAACCAATCCCTCTTCCCAGGGAACTCTGGAAACTGTAGCTCCATGAGGGGAGTAATGGTCTCTTTACAACTCTTAGCACGCTAAACTTCCCAGGATTCTTGGGTGGGGGTGGGGGGGAGGCATGACTGTTTAAAATGCCATTATACTTCTTTAAACCTGTAGTGCTGAAGTTTCTGAGGATGGACCTCTTTACCCTGGCCTTTGACACCTGGAAGATATGTTTGTAGCACCCACCCTGCTATTGCAGCTGTAATTTGTTTTAAGCTGTTTTTCATGCTAAAACTTTTAATGGCTGTAACCTGCCCTGGAATCTTACAGCGAAGGGTGGGTAAGAAATTGAAACAACAACGAGAACTGGCAATTCTGCCAGGGACCTTCTGTGTGTGTGCAAAGAACACTGAGCTATGCCCTTTCCCCTTGACACGGGATCAGATCTTTATTTCTTTTTTAAACAGATCTCTCTTTTTTTAAGCCTATTTGCTACTAAATCGGAACACTTGCCGTCAAATTAATAAACGTGTTGATTTGTATGCAGCATATTTCTCAGCGTATTGTCTGTTGCCATTAAGTTCTGGTCTCCCCCTCTCCTGTTTGTTGTCTAATATTTATGTATATTTCTATGTATTTTCAATACATAAGATTCTTCTGGATCACACTTCGGTTCATCTAGTTCAGAGATGGGCAAGCCTGTAAATGATGGTGCCTCTCAGTTTCTCATTTTCCTGCTTTCAGTCTTAAATTCAGTTCTCCACATTTCTGCATCAGCTTGTGACACCCCCCCAAAAAAACCTTACAAAACTTTATCAGCTTTTTAGTATTTCTCCTTTTTTAGTATTTTTCCTTTTTATAACCAATCTTCTCTGTTATAATGCACTTAGGGATGTTATTTTTGCAAAAATATGTGTGCATTCCCCTCCCCCGCACCATTTCCCCTAATATGCAGACTTTTGCAAACTATTTTGCTCGGGCAACTGAATTTCAAAATTCAGAACAGTGTGAATTTCGAAGGTGGCCTGTGTTTCCATTTGAACATTGTTCTGGGAAGTGTGAATAAAATGGGATCACGTGAAAATGAAAACAAAATTTCTTCCCATCCCTAATTCTGATAGCCTGTTCCCTACAGTGGCCAACCAGAAGCTCTGGGAATCCCACAAGCAAAACTTAAAGGAGTATTTTTCATAAACTGATTGTTCCCTCCACTGCCCTTTGGTGTTCACGGGTATATTCAGTGGTGGATTTATGGTCTGTGGGGCCCTCTTTGTGTGTGTGTGTGGGGGGGTAATTCCTTCACCCAAGTAAGCATGAATGTGTCTGAAACTAGGTCAGAGCTAAATGCATAAGAATGAGTTAATAACACAAGTTATCTTTCTTTACTATATTATTAAACTGTGCTTTTTGTTTCCTATTAATGATATGTATACATAGAGAGCTATAAAAAGAAAACACCACCTTCTGTCAGAAAATGAATTTTATTTAAGGGAACAAAATGGATGAAAATTAAAAGACTTTTGTAAACTATTCACAGGTAGTCACAAAATATACGTGTGTGTTTTTCTGGCATTTCCTTTTGCAGAAACCGTTCGAGGAACTTGCTGTAATTTACGTCTTGCAATGCAGAACTTTAGAGGGCTGAAGTTTATTATTTATTTTATTTATTACATTTGCATCCAACCTTTTCTCCAGTGAACTCAAGGTTTACTTACGTGGTTCTCTCCCTCCTCATTTAATTCCCACAGCAACCCTGCGTAATAGGCTAGGCTGGGTAGTAAGTAACTGACCAGGGTCACCCATGGCAGAGAGTCGATTCAAACCCTGGTCTCCCAGGACTTAGTCCAATACTCTAGCTTTTGCAGTACTCTAGCTTTCTAAATGACTTTAAATTGCCAAACTCATGAAATGCTCTTGAAAAATATTATAACTCAGGGAGGGGTCTCTCAGCTGCATGGGCCCTTCTACATATACTGAGTGTACCTATAAATGTACCATTGGGTAAACTGCTTATGAACATGGAGGCTCTATTTAACTGTCAGGGCCAATAAGCACCAATAAAAATATTCTCCATTTAATTCCATGTAAAGTAAGTGACCGCTGATGCTTCTTTTTGCAGAAAATTCCACACATGAACGATGTGTTATTTGGGGAAATGCTTTCTTTTTGTATATTTGAGAACCTGTTTGTTCTCCCTTATTTAATAAGGGATGGTCAAAAGTCAGAAGTGCCAGTTGCTTCTCGTAAATCTCCTCCACCTTAACCAAACAAAACAGAATGTGCCAACTCACAGACAACCCTATTATTTGACTTGCCGAAGAGCTTCTCCCAAAATTAGTTTTCACTGAATGGGTGGGGGTGGGGTATGAACTCAAGACACTTCAGAAAGTGCATTGGAAAAAACTAGCTGGCATATATATATATATATATATATATATATATATATATCTCACCAGACTTTTGAGAAAATAACGTAAGTCCATGAACGAAGAGGGAAAGTTATATATTGAGAGCTCATCTAAAGGAAAACAACACATGACACAGAATACAGTTAGTTGGTGGTGGCTTTTACCTGATTTAATATTTGATTATGACAATGTTTAATTGCTGTAACCCTCCCTGAGGTCTTTGGGCAAACAAGAAGATATAAATAATATAAGCAGATAAATCTTTGCATCTCATGTGCGGGGGTTTTTTTATTTAAAAAAACCCCTGCCGCCTCAATGCAAATACGAGATTTAACGTTAGGGCTAATTTGCGCCTAAGACGTCAGTCATGAACAGAAACTCTCCATTCCGCAGAATGGCACTAGGATAAATAAAAGACAGCAAGACTTTGATTTAAGTTGGCTGCAACCTTTGAAACAACGTAAGTTAGAAATCTTTACAGGTCTACGAATACTAATCCCGCAACTGGAAATGCTACAAGATTTGACACTTTGTGGCAGAGCCCAGCAATATACACCTTGGATAAAACACTAGGCTGCATTTGTTCCTTTTTAATATTTAAGTTGTTGTTTGTAGTCGGGTTCATACAGCAACACAGTGTAAGTCTGTTGGTGTTTCTGCCGCTCATTTGACTTGTTATTCCCCCTGCTGACACCAGCGATCCCAAACATGTCAGGAAATAGGAAGGGAAATCTGTGGTGAATGAAGAGGAATAGGTCGTGATTAGTGGAGAGAAGACAATGTATCAGTTAAAGATCAAGTTGTGAAGCTGAATTAGCCAGAGAATAATTAACTGCTTGTTAAGATGTAAATCTGAACAAATTTAATCTGGCAATCTCATTTGTTGCTGATTTAAGCAATCTAACGTCAACCAAAGAAGAAATCTGGACTTTAAAAAACCCCCAAATAAATTAAAAAGTTAATGTAGCAAATATGTGCATATGAAAAGAAATTGTATCATACCTATGGAAATCACTCTGGGAATTTAGTTATGCAGCCCACAAGACTTAACTCTCCCTGCTGCAGAAAGAACAAAACACAAAATGAATACATTTCACATTTATAGGTATATATGTTTGCTAATCTGGCATGGGGGTAGAAAGATGTCTTTTATTATCATTACATGCAGCAAATTTTATGTTTCTTTCATTTTAATATGCTCTGTTATGATTGTGCAGTATTTACATGAGTCTAAGTCACTTTTATTTCAAGGGAACTAGCTTCCGAGTGAACATGCTTAGGGTTTATGGGGCTGCTGCATGTTTAAACATTTCCCCTAAGGGAAAAATGTTGAACATATTTAGAAGAATTATTTACAGTCTGGGGTGATATACTTGGGCTGCAATCCTACACTCCCTTCCTCTGGGAAGAAATGTCGTGGAACGTAATGAGGCTTACTTCTGAGTAGACATGTCTAGAATCACACCACTGATCAATCTATTGTTGCAGAGCTGAACTGATTAAATAAGTGAGTAATGATCCCTGTTTTCCTCCAGTAATACGTTCAATATTCTTTTTACCTGATGTAATATTGATGGGGAATCAAATGAAATTCCTATGGGTTGCATCAGTCTAAATACCGTTCAGAGTAAACTCATTTGAATTAATGAACCTGTTAGTCAAGAGCATTGATTTCGGTGGGTCTACTCTTGAGCAGGGCTAACATTGGACACAACCCCAAATTTTGGTTGTTTTACTAACTGTGTTAAGCTTCCATTAGAGATGGGAAGTCCAGCTGTTTGACACTTACATTGCTTCCCTGAGCAATGAGTGGTGTGCCTGGTGCTTTGGTTGTTAAATTCAAGCCTAATAAATTTATAAACTCTTTTTTTCAGAAAACATTCTTGACAAAGTCCTATGCAGTATTATTTTTGGAGTGCACTTTCGCCTCCAAGGAGCTCAATGTGGCATACAGGGTTCTCTATCCCCCCCCCCATTTAATCCTTACAACAATCCTGTAAGGAAGCATGGGCTGAAAGGCAGTCCCCCCAGGTCCCCCGATGAGCTTCATGTCCAGGTAGGGATCTGAACCCTAGTCTCCCAGGTCCTAATCCAACCCTCTAACCACTACTGCACATTGGCTCTCAGTAATAAAAATGCCCAATGCAAATACCATTGAAATGCACTAAAAGAAGAGTAAGCCAACACAGTCCTATTAGCCAGATGTTGCTGGACTACATCTCCCAGCATCCCTGAACATTGTCCATCTTGCCTGGGACTGATGGGTTCTGGAGTCCTGCAGGATCTGGAGGGCCCTGTTACCACCGCTCTAAAACAGCCACACTTTGTAATGATCTAAAAAAATCAGCTCCAAAACAGTCAACTAGCCCAGGATAAACTCAGTAACCTATCAGCAATTTAAACGTCTCCACAGCCCAGATTACATCAAGGACTGAAATCTTGGAGGGGGGCAGAAATTTCTTTTTTCTTTCTTGGATTTTATTTCCAGTTTCTAAACTACCTTGCTCACCTCTGTGGAAGGTGCACAGACAATGGCCAAGAGAATCTGGTTGATATATAAAGGATGACCAAAATAACCACATAAAATATGTTCAAAGTGGTTTATCATCATAATTGTCATCAATTTATTCATCACCTTCTCAGCCACCATCTCAAGGTGATTTACATAACAGGTAAAAAAAAGGTAAAAGCACAGCAACAAATACATTTAAAACAAGACTGAAACCCTAACAAGTGGACAATTTGCAATAAAATATTCATTTTCATTGCAAATTTTATTATCAGATATATGTAGGCTCCAGGTGGCATACAAGGTTCTCCCCCTCCTTAATCTATCTTCACAACAACCCTGTAAGGTAGGTTAGGATGAGAAACTAGTTTTCAAAATCACTCAGTAAAATTTTTAACCCTAAGTCTCTTGGGTCCTGGTTCTACACTCTAACCACTACCCAAGGCTGGCTCTTTCCAGAAATCTATTCAGAAGGGTGTCCCATTGAATTCAATAACACCTACTCCAAGGTAAATGGGTATAAGATTGTAGCCTCTCTAGCTGTTTTTGCTGGCATTTTTGCTGGCATTTTATTCTAGTAGGCTTTTGCCTGCTAAGGTTTAAAAAAGGAGGTTATTTTTATCGTGATCTCTGTCATTGTTGCTTTTGCATAGATTTCTTTTTAAAAAGTTGTGTACTTTATGTGTTGTGAATTTTACCTTGTTTTATTATTTGTATTGTGATGTATATTTAATATACTGTGATTTTAAAATGCTGTCATCTGACCTGAGTGATGCATTGACACTAGACGGATGTGGTAGAATTTTTTACAAAAATAAAAACAAAATATTTCATTAGTAAGAATTTGGAATAACAGTGTTTGCCATTCGTTGGTCCACAATACGCTCCTTGAACAAACTGATGTTGCCCCATTAACATCCCTGAGAGCCTGTGCTTCCTACTTACCCTAGAAATCTAACCATTAAACCCCTTAACCTTTTAATACGGGATAAATGCTGTATTAAATGAATCACCGGAGGAAAATGTGGATCAGTCAAAAAGAAAGGAACAAGCAAAAACCTTGAATTGTGCCTGGCTAGACTAATTAATTATGGTTTGCAAATAGACAGCCAGTTTTCCTCTCTCCATACTGGAAGTCTGAACAACCTTTGATGCACCAAGATTTTAATGCTTGAAGCCACAAATAGCAACAAGAACAGCTCCTTTTAACTGTTAAACGATGGTTTTACACCAAATTAGTGTTCTGAGCAGCTAAACAGAGATGATGAGGTCGAATCTGCTTTAAATTGTCAGGTTCTCGGAATCTTGAAGGTTTTTTCCTCCCCTGGTTTGATCTGCAGAAGTAGCAATGCCCCCTAATGGATGAAGATGGAACTTTCCTAACCAGCTCAGCAGGCTTCCTCCTGATAAAGATCTTTACCCAGACTTTAAATCCTTTAAAACAGATTTACAAAGCAAAAGTTTATCTGGAAGAATAACAAAATGCTGAGGTGGAGGCTTGAAAAATATTTGGATTTCTTTGCTGCACGCCAGTACTTGAAAGAGGGTGGCTCCCGAATTTCAGCAACACCAAAATTCAAGTTGAATTCTGCGGTTTTCAGTTTTGATCTGAAAATTCATGCCCATTCATTTGGGAAGTATTTAAGCACTTTCAAAGCAGCACTTACAAGCACCCAGACAATAGGTTAACCCTTTTTTGTCAATTCTGCACAGTGTATTTTTTAAAACTGGGAACTCTTTTAACACTGTGAACATTTGTTCTCCAGATTAACACCTGTTCCATTTCATCCACAGAACAAAACATTTAAAGACTACATAATCAATGAGGCAATGCAACTGCGAACGAAATGCACACTTAATGAGAAAGGCTAAGGGTTTGCGCAACTTGAGGAGTACGCACACAGTGGGATGATAATGTAACTTGGAGTGGCAATGGATGTGTTGGGTTGCCATTCGTGGACTAACACTAACCAGAGTAATTCCAAAAACAGAAAATGATGGGCACACATCCTGATCTGGACAGTTTCCAGATTGCTAAATGAATTTTCCATGGAAATCTGTTGCTTGTGACTGGGAAAATTGAATTGTTGCCAGAATCCTTCCTTAATAAACAAGTAACATTTTATAAAAGTGATACATTGTTTGCACTCAGAAAACTTTGCTTTTGTTTGTCAAAATCTTTGAATTTTGTAATGTTTATCAAAGTTGTGGGGTTGTTGTTGTTTTTTTAAAAAAATCTTCCTATTTGCTGTAGACATCTCTGCTTCAACATGAGTATCATAAATGTGTCTCCATAGTCTCTTTTCTTTTCTTTTCTTTTCTTTTCTTTTCTTTTTGGTGCCATGACTCGGATCTTAGTCTTATTAAGACACGTGGACTCCAAACCTGCTTTGATGTGCTCACAGATCTATCTCCCCCTTCCACTCCAGTTGTGGAAGCCTCCGCACACAGAGAGATTCTCCCTTTGCCTGAATTTGAACTTTGAATTTGATTCAAAGAAAGTTTATTGTGCTGAAATCGCGGGTGTAATACATTTACCTGCGTGCAAGTCCTGTCGAGCTCAATGGGGCTTGCTTCTGAGTAGGCTTGCGCTGCAAGCTAGTCATCATTACCAAGTGTCATTGGTTTCATTTATATTTAAAGAACAACTCATTGACTTTGATGTGGGGCCATTGATGTTCTGGAGCATGGCTTAAAAAATAATAATCTGTGAATTTGGGGGCTGTGGCTCTGTTGTCTGTTCTTTGAAAAACTTTCCAGGATTTGAGATTTCATTATGTCAGCACATATAATCTGCACATCCCACTCGCTGCATATATGTTACCTGTCAACAGATTCTGAAATAATTCCTATGACTCTTCACAAAATAGTAACCCATGCAGAGGTCACCCCACCCTCCAGCTCCAGCAAAATCTTTCTTTCTGTACTTCATACAGAGGATGAAACTAGTTGTTTCCCCGCTTATTTCAACCATCTGCAAACAAGACATACTGTCCTACAGATTTTTATCATATCGCTAGTGGTGTCTTTTAAAATCTGTTGTTAAAGCTGGTGCCTACCTGCCTCTCTATGTATCCAATGTTATTGGGATTAAGGTAAACATATTTATAACGCAGAAATAAAATTGAAATCCTAAGGATTTAATGCAGCAAGCTACATTTTGACAAAATACTAATGTACAAATGTCAACAATTCTGCTCGCAAGAAGAAAATACGGATAAAACAATTGCATTGAAAGAGTAAAATAAAACCAAGTGAAATAGTGTGAGCCATGTGAACTTTTTAAAAGCTGCTTTTTCTTTGTATAAATCTCCCCAGATTCTGAATGTGTGGTTTTTAAAAAATATTGTTGCCTGCCCAAAATCTTCCGGGAGCGAGACAAATTAAAAACTGACTGACAGATGTAGAGATGTACGCATTCAGTGGAGAGATGCATAAGATGGAATGCTGTATCTGTTAATGAAACCTCTAATCGGCTTGCAATAAATCTGCAGCGAGGAAAAAGAGCTAGCAGCTTTCGAAAAGAAAATCTGAAGCATGTAGGGCAAAA